TATGTGTATTTAGATGTAATTTAGGTAGTTATTTGAGTTCTAATTTTGTTTAGTTGATTAATTTCTTAATTTTTTTCTCCCAAGGCAGTTGAGGGCTTCCTTCCTTTCTCTTTTCATTTGTGATCCCTGCCCTCTTTCTGCAGTGCCCAAAAGCACGTATGGGCACTTCCACCCCATAGCTTCTCCATGTCTCAATCCCTCACAAAGCCATTTGAAGCTGCATCTTCCATCACCTTCTCTCCTGCAGACTATGAGATGTTCAGCACAAAGAACGTGTTTGTTAATTGGTGCCCCCTCCAGCCAATCAGTAGAAGAGTATAAACTCATCACCCAATCAATGTCTTACTCTTGCTCTCATTTTTAATCCATGTTGTATGCAAAATCTAAGCAGTTGCTGTGGAAGGGAACTCCAGCGCCGCTAAGCCACCATTCCTCCATTGTACTTAAAAGGCTTGGGAAACAACAGTGTTAACACAGACCTACATTGACTTGAACCTCTTTTGCGGGAAGAAAGGAACTGAGAGACAACTTAAGCGAGAATTCCCACCAATGGGAGAGCAGATGCTTGGCAGAAATGCTGCATTTCAAAGGAAAATACCAGTTTTTCTGCAATTGCAGGTATGCTGGAGAAGAACCATGGATAAATTAGGTGGGACACAAGGGGTGTCTTGAGGTCAGGACCCAACCTGGTACAAAGGTCCTGTGAGTCAGTGCTCTGAAACTCAGCCCCAAGATTTGCACCTCCTGCCTCAGATCCAGAACATGCACCGATGCCCAAAACAGCATTGGTGGGTGGTCTTAACGCAGGAACCAGGAAAAAAAGGCACTACTGAACTGATGCTGAAGAAGGCTTTCCTATGACTTGATGTGTTCCTCAAGAGATGACTTGGTTGACTCCCACCTTGCTGCAGGTCTACTTCTGTCTCCTGGATCAGGAGGGTCTGATCCCGATTAACCTTCATGGAACTGCCCTAAAGTGGGGCCACAACATTTCATTGCGTATTTTTTGTTGGACGCTGGCAATGGCCTTCCCTTCTCCTTTCCTCTGCTTATTTGACTCAGCTTTGGTTTTAAGAAAAAGTGTGGCCCTTTTGCATAAAACATAGCAGGAAAAAAAGCAACACATGAGCAAAGTGTTTTTGTGGCATCACCCATGGGTGGCCAGAGGTTAGTCTTGGAGCAGGGCCCCAACACGGGGCATCCATGGGGGGTCAAAAAAGTCAAGATGGCAGCCATAATTATGCAATCAATCCATTTTAAAAAAGAGGTGGGGCTTTGCCTGGCTGGGACTGCCATCTTGACTCCCTCCCACAGATGTTCCTAATCCCAATTTAAATTTCCCCCAGGAAGGGATTCGTACTTTGCCTGCCAGTTAATCCTCTTAGCACCACGCCAACTGTAAGACTGTTAAAAAAGATTTTCCAGTTCCTTTTCGTTGAAGTCTGAGACCAGCAATCTCATATTCTCAGGATCTGCTGGACTCTGAAACAGCATCCAGTCACTTCCCTAACGCTTTTTTGAATTTAAATTCGAAACCGTGTCCGCTGCCGTGCAAGGTTTTGCTGATCTTAAGCAAGGATAATACAAATCACAAAACAGCTTTGCGCAAGCAAAGCCAGAATGAAATTACTGATTGGGGAGCTCGTAAAATTTCGGATGGAAGGGTTGAATGTGCTGATTGATGGTATGTAGCATCTGAAAAAGTCTGACCCCTGAGAAGATACCCTGCCTCCTCCATTCAACCTTGCGTTGAAACGACTGATTTAAGGTAGAGGGGGAAGAAAGGCTTTTTTGCTCATCAACAACCTCAGCCTTCGAGTATTACGCTGGAAGGGGGGTCACGCTCCAGAAAGCAGGCATAATCAAGGCAAACAAGTTGACCGGAGCCGAGACACAAATTAAATGCTTTAAACTTAACGGACGTTAGGAGAAGCTAATTACAGTTAATATGATTACTCCCACAGCTTTAATGATTGTTTTCCCCCTGGTGCTGCATTAAAAGATACAAGCAGTGGGGAGGGGGGGATTTTAGAAGATCTTGGGGGAAAAAGGATGCGAGAGCGCTTGCAATTTTGCGCTAAGGAATGGCAGCGTAAATCAAGTCCGTAAATCAAGATCTTTTAGGGGGACCTGAATGAAGCACGTTCTGAGGTCTTGGTGGACAAAGTCGAGAGAGAATTGTATAGCTTTGAATGGAAAGAATGGTAAGAAACCTGTAGGCTTCTTCAAACACATCAATTCCTGCCCAGCCCCAAATTCCCCAAAAGATCATTCCTCTGTCCTACCAAAGGACGTGCCATCCCTCATCTCTTATATCCCCCAGATCTGGAGATCCGGCGAGCGGCATCTATCTTGGGAGGGCCCCATCGCCTTGCACTTCTCAAACCTGGTTGTAGCTTGCTCTGAAAACTGCTCGAGCTGGGATCAATATGCCGTTTTCACACATTCCTGCATAAAACTAACAGCGTTCATTAAGTTCTCTTTCTACCATATGGTTTATGTTCCCCCCCCCCACCCCAGGCTGTTTTTATTTCCCGGGTTTTTTTTTAAGTAAAGGTTTGTTTTATTTTTGATTTCTGCCTGCAGGATCATCCCTTGCTTTGATACGCTACTGAACGCGGTTCAGCTCTTAAGAGCGACACGGGGATCAGACGTAACTTCCTGGTTTGATCTCGGATGGTGGGAAGGTCTCCTTTGCTCTGGAATGGATGGCCCAAGATCACCACGTTCTGGAGAGCTCGGATGCTAAATCAGTAAATTCGTTGTCCAAAATCTGGGCCGTTTTGTGTAGGAGAAGAGCATCAGATGTGGTGGGGGCACATCTTTCTATCCTAATTAATCCTAATAGCCTGGATTAAGGGTGTTAAGGCCAACGGAGGTACTCCAGGTGTCGCTTACACTTCCCAGCAACCTTAGGAAGCAAGCCTAGCAGCGAGGATGGCTGGAAGCTGGAGTTTCATCCACACCTGGAGAACCACCGATCCACATTGAGGGTCCACCTACGTCCAGGCCCCTTATTGGACCCTTTGCAAAAAAAAAGAAAAATGAATCACATGGGACTGGTTATTGAGGACTGGTAGCTTGAATTCACTGCAGGAAGTAATGGATGGCAATGATGCAAAGCAATGGTGCAGTTAGGAAAACGGGAGTCCTAATGGAGGGGCAGTGATGGGAAGATCTTATTTCAAGGTTTGGCAAGGCCTGCCACAAAACCCTGACCTCACACTGCACGCACCTACCTGTTGCAAACATTTTACACCCATCTGGAACTCTCTCTACTCCAGGGGAACTGCCTCTCGAACTGAGCTCCGCGGCCCACCTTCCACTGCACAGAGTTTCTGTACATCTAGAAATTCACCCCATCCCAAAATAAGGGCTGGTAAAATCTCCCCTCCTCTTCATCAGGACTCGGGTGTTACATGAGACAGGAGGGGGGGGAGGGATGATTTTAAGAGCGGTTTAGATAACACACTGGATTGGAGAGACTAGGAACAGGGGATACGCTTTGTTCTAAAACTGCTTTTCAAAATACCATTATTTAGAAAATAAATTAGGCACTCAGCATCTCGTTTCTAAGCA